TCATAAATAAGGTTCAGTCTGTCACAGTGTTACTCTCAGAGGGATGACGGCACCTCCCCCACCCTCCCTCGCTCGGTAATGTAATGCCCACTTGTTGCCATGGAGTCCAATGGTACTTTTGCCTTCACTTGCTTCAATTCAGAGGACCCTCCTTTAGTTTGTGTGTGTGTGTTTGAGCATGTGCAGTCATGTGCTACTGCATGTGCCAGCTTCCACAAGTGTGTATGATAGGCTGGCAGGAATAAAGAGGGTGATAATCACTGTTGCTGCTGTTTTTGTAGCTCACCGACTGCTGTTTCCTATTCTGTGCTTTTAAAAAGTCTTTTCATGTACTTTTCAGGGGCTGAAATGCTCTCTTACCCCCTGGTCTATTTATTTGAAGAAAGAGAAGGGCATGCAAACCTTCCCCCACTCTCTACACAGCAGCACCCATCCAGCCTGGGAAGGATCCACCACAATACTGCTGTTTAACCCGTCTTTTTCTTCGTGATCTAAAGAAGAAACCTGACAAAAGGCTGCAGGCACTCCAGCCTCATCTGAGACCCATTCAGGGTCTTTTACAGCTCTTGGTAAATGTGTGTTTCGTTGTTACTGTACTTTTATTCTTGTGGAAATTAATTCACAAAAGTCACAAAAAAATGTCAAGATGCAACCTATAGAAAAAAACGAATGATTTATGAATTTTCTCAAATGTAAAATATCAACATTTTAAAAGTTTAAACCCTCAGAACAAGAAAAACAAAGGAAGCTATCACCTAGAATGATTTCAGACTTACCTTGACTGGCTTTACTGATTTTGTTGAAACTAAGCTTAAGACCTGACAAGAACATGCCTTGAAACACACAATACCTGATTTTGTTCAATCATTTCCAATCAAAAGGTTCTGTGGCTCCATCCATAAAAAGACCCTTCAAGGTCCTCTTCTTATGCACCTCTGAACAACTTTTAGCACTAATGCTGATTTGACATTGCAGCAGCCTTTGAATTTAATTTAGAAGAATCAGATGAAGTCACAGGGAACAAAAGTTTCCTAATAGTTTATGTGACCAGTCACAATTGTTTTGGTTCGGCCAAAAAAAGTGAGCCTAGTTCAGGTTGTTTGTGCTGACT